GATGTATTGGTGAGTTCTTCAAGTTCATTAAACTAGTTCTGTGCCACAATGTTCTTGTCCCTTTATAGATTTAATTATTTTTCTAAAATAATTATTGTTTTTGATTTAAGGGGCTTCATATTTCTTTGCCTAATACCCTAAAGCTATCTTTGTTTTCGCATAACATTGTTGTTACTTATAATGAGAGTAATTTGCAATGATCGCTGATGTTCCTTTACCCCTTCTATTGGCTTTTAACTGTTAAGTAAACCCTAAAAATTGTTACGCAGATGTGCCGATACCAGCTTCATAGATTTTGTGGATTCTCTATTGAGTGATCTGTTAGTCTGTATTTTTGAAGAAATCTCACACAAATTATCTTCCAGGTGTTTCCGAATTTTTTTTGTTGGAGAACACCATCTTGGAATTTTTAAAGGAAATTATAGCTTTGAACTGAAAAAGAAAACTAAAAGGACTTAACAGTTAATACTCGAAACCTGGCAGCTCCAATTACACTCCGACTGCATTTTTCTGTGTGGGTGCACATGCGTCCCTCTTGCATAAACTGGAAACATTTCTTCTAACATATCTTTTGGTGTATTCAGTATCTTCCAACATATCTGTGCTGGTATAGCCTCACAAATTTTGAACCAAGAATCATTTATTGTATTTTAGGACCGGTAATGATAATTTATTTTATATAATTGGGTGTTGATATAACTATTTCTTTTTCCCAAAATTCTTCCTAATGGATGAAACATTTTGGGAAGATATTTGTAGATGTTAAGCTTATGAACTTCTCTCTCTGTATTTTCTCGAATATTTGGTGAAATCTAACTTACATTCCTTGATGCATCATTCTGTATTCTTTTATCAGAATTTGGTGCTCTTGATTATCAATTTATTTATTTGCCACAATTTTGAGTGTAATTGCTTATTCATTTATCGTCCTTATGATACAGGGAAGGTGCAAAGGTGATTTGGGGCTACGTGGATAGAATACTGGGACAACCGTCACTTATCCGAGAATCTTCCAGAGGAAAGTATCCTTGGTCTGGCATCTTTACACGTGCTATGAGCTCGCTATCACGCAATGGTGATAAAACATCATCAAAAAATGGAAATGGGTTTGGTGATGTGATTTTGCACCCTTCTCTTCAAAAACGAATTCAGCAGCTAGCAGGTGCAACTGCCAATACAAAATCCCACCAAGCACCGTTTAGGAATATGCTGTTTTACGGCCCTCCTGGAACAGGAAAAACAATGGCTGCAAGAGAACTGGCTCGTAAATCTGTATGAACTCGTATACTTTCATTTTTCATTTATCGTTTCCATTTATATATCATTTATTTTGCAAAAGTTCATGTCTTTGTTATGAAGGAATGTTCAGTTTTATTTTAAAGAAATGCATATTTTGATTCTCTGACCATCTTTTTGATAGTTCAGTCTAAATACTAGACTTGGGTACACATATGAGTGTGGTCTAATGTTATCGTGGACTCGGTTGTGATTGTTGAATAGTGAGTATATATGCAATATGGGTATGTTTAACTTCTAGTTCTTTCATGGGGGTCCTTTGAGGGTCATGGCCTCATACCCCATGTCCAAAAATGTGTTGGACACTAGTACTTGATGAAAAATGAAGATTTGGAACAACATAAGATTGGAAAACCATGTCAGTATGTTGATTATGAATGAATAAGCATCTATGTATGTTTCAGTTCTGGTTGTGGGTTTGATATGTTTGTATGCAACATTAAAACAACTCGTGGCAAATGTTTGAATTCCGGTGACCTGTTTATTTGTTTTCATTCTCTGGTATTGTATGTTATGGTTCAGGGATTAGATTATGCATTGATGACTGGTGGAGATGTTGCTCCTCTGGGACCACAAGCAGTTACGAAGATACACCAGTTATTTGACTGGGCAAAGAAGTCCAACAGAGGCTTGCTGCTGTTCATTGATGAAGCAGATGCATTTTTATGCGAGTAAGTCGACTCCATTTAGTTATGTTGCTCGGACAACCATGTCCGATGTGAAGACAGAAAAAAACTGACCACACATGTTAAGTCAGATACTTGTATCCGACACTTGCTCTCGAGTCTGAGTGACATTTCCCAACCATGAAACGGACTTTTTTCACAACTGTTTACCCAGAAGTGGAATTAGTCTTATGCTACGTGGTAAAAACCACATGTTAGATATAGAATTCCTTGATAATTGTTGTCCACGAAAGTAACGACCATGTATGAAAACATTATATTTCATTGATAACTCTTGAGGTTACCTTTGAATATTGATTATTTTTGGCCAAACTTTCATTTGCAGACGGAACAAAACCTACATGAGTGAAGCTCAAAGAAGTGCACTCAACGCACTTCTTTTCCGCACAGGTGACCAGTCTAAGGACATAGTCCTTGCTCTTGCTACAAACCGTCCTGGTGACCTTGATTCGGCTGTGGCGGATCGGATTGATGAAGTACTGGAATTCCCTTTGCCCGGGGAAGATGAACGCTTCAAACTGCTAAAGCTCTATCTGGACAAGTACATAGCTCAGACTGGTTCAAGAAAACCCGGTTTGTTTGAAAACCTTTTCAAGAAGCAGCAGCAGCAGATTGAGATCAGAGGGCTGACAGACGATATTTTAAGAGAAGCTGCAGCGAAAACCGATGGATTTTCGGGAAGGGAAATAGCAAAACTGATGGCCAGTGTTCAAGCAGCTGTTTATGGGAGTGAGAATTGTGTGCTTGACCTGAGCCTATTTCGAGAAGTGGTAGATTATAAGGTCGCAGAGCACCAACAGAGAAGAAAACTGGCCGCGCCGGACGGAAACGTGCATAATTAGTCTCGAGTTTTTGGTGATTAAAAGGCAAAAAATTTAGGCTATAGGGCATCATGGTGTCATTATTTTCCCCCATCCAAAAGGGTTTGAGATTCCAATCGTTTTCAAGAGGTTTATGTGTTAAATTTGTTTGCAGAATTTCCATGGTTACCCTGTCCAGATTAGGTTGTTCTCTTGAAAAATAATCTATGTGATGATCTCTAACTGGAGAAGATGAAATGGAAGGAATTTATGGGATTTGAATACATATTTTTTGTCAACATTTACAGTTAGTTGGGATCCTTGCGGCATTTGGTAAAAAGAGAGCTGTTAAAATAGAGTGCGACTTTGATGGTACTTGTGGAGGAGAGTGGCATAGGCATCCCTTCAATCCCTCCATGACAGGGCAGATATCTCAACGTATCGATATTATGGTTTTTAGAATATATGTAATAAATTATGTTAATACTGCAAAATAAAAAAAAATATCTCACATCAATACATACTTTAATATTTATATATATTTTATTGGAAAATAATTTGTTGGTTTTTAGAATTTCCATTTATTACCGTTTTAAATATTAAAGTATTGATTGTTGAAATATTATCTGATTAGTTGTTGATTTGTGAAAAACGATTAAATGATTTTTTTATTGTTTTATTCCACTATCAACCCTATAATTGACTTTTTAAATTTCTTATTTTACACGCCATAATTATACTTGTTTTCCTCTATTTTTCACAGAATCTTTTATTTGTCAAATATATTCCCAAATAAATATGCTGATCAACTTTGTTTTTCATTGAAAATCAATTGAGTTTTATCTTCTTTTTTTATTCGGTTTTAATAGTATCGAAGTTTCATTGTTGATTTTACAGACACACCAATGAATTTAAAAGAAATTTTTTATTGATATTAATAATTAAATTAAAATTTTTAATCTGAAGAGCAAATAATTAGGTTTTTATTTATTTTAAAATATCACATTTATAAATTTAACAAATAATTTTATCAATATTAATATTTTATTATAATTTTTAATTAAAAATAAAAATTATTTAAAAAAACAAAAGAAAAAAAATTAAATTTCAAATACATACATATCTTAATCTAGTAGCAAATGACATTTTTCTCCAAAATATGTCATTTGATTGTTTTTCAAGGGTTTTTTTTTTATTATTATTCAAGACAGAATAAGTGATATGATACATAAGTTGGGTAACAAATAGCCCAAGAAGATTTTATATTATTTACTTGTACTTTAAGTAACTGTCAGCACTACTATCTAGTTTCCTTCTTTCTCAAGAAATGAATAATTGATCTGAACTCATAAATTTAATTATGAAATTGCAAATTTTATTTTTCAAGGACCAAACTACAATTTATGAAAATTGGGGAGCCAAAATATGATTTGACCATTGTTTTAACATAAAACTTTGAAATTTGTGCAGGGACATATACCGCCCCTGCCTATAATTTTGTGAATTTTAAGAATTTATAATTTTCTAAAAGTCACTCTATTTAAGGCTACTTTAAAACGATTTTCAACTTAAAATATTATTATGTTCAACCGAAAAAAGTTATACAGAATTATAAAACTTTTAGTTGTAACCAAAAAATTAAATGATATAACTGTCCAACCTAAAATATTACTTTTTTTTGTACAAGGGGTGAATTTCAGATATAGACTAGGCAAGCCTATAACATAAGTAACTAGTATATCTAATAAATACAGATTTAATATATGGTGAAGATGAAGATGAACAGGGAAGTAGCAGACTGCCAACAATAGTGATGATTGAAAAAAGTAACAGATGAGACACAAGTTCAAATCAAAGGCTCCATTGTCATACATATCAGTAACAATAGCAAATGACTGCTGTAAAATTCAATAACATAAGACGCTAGCTATGTAATCATAAGGTTCTAATTTCATAACTAGTTAATTGACTTGAAGGATGATATTAATGATACGACAAATAACATGGGATTTACAGTTTTTTTTAAAATAAATACAGCCTAACAATTTTATGTTTAGAGACCATAACACAAGTCCTTTATAAACCATCACTTGCCGAAATTTTAATGGAAAAAAAAAAGACCTCAGCCTCTTCCTGAATGCAATATAATTTGCTAACTCCTGCAAATGCAAACTTTATAAATCGACATCCATTACTAAAGACAGATGTAGTTCAACCATCTAAACATCAAAACTGCTTCAATTTAGTCAAGAGATCCAAGTATTTCAAGTAGGTTAAAAACACTTCCATGAAGCACTACAGTCAGTTCCATTTATCAAAATAGGAAGAAAAAAAACAAGTTTTTAACAATGAAATTACTTCAAGTGTAAGCACCTCCAGCCTTCACTTTGAGACTGTTTTTGCATTCCTCAAATGCCCACAGATTTCCTCTTCATTGTATACTGCATTCTGCATTCATTAATGCAACCAATCAGATCATCCTATATCTCAAAACTGAAAAAAAAACCTACCTTCCCATAGAGCTGTACCAATTCAAACAGTAATTATTATTTTTTATATATAATGGAATAAAAAATGTCTAAGAAACAACCCAATTACATAAACTTAAACACGAGTGACAAGAAATTAAAATCCTTACCGCCACGTACCAAACTACTTTTGTTGGTTAATCAATGCTTGTGTTTGTTCTTTTTCGGTTTAGAAGAAATCAATCCATATGCTTTCCGTCTTGACTCTGATATGTTGGTTGCTTGACGATGCTTTTTCTTGCCCTGCTCAGATAAATTCTTCATATCACCATTTGGATCCTTCAATTTTGTGTCCTTATCTTCGTTCAATTTCTCAGAAGCATCTCTTGACATTTTCTTACCAAACTTGTGACCATTTCGCTTCTCACTAAGAAGCTCCTTAATCCTCAATTTCTGCTGGTACCTCTTACTATTGGGTACCTTCCATTCCTTTTCCGTATATGGTGCAAGCTTCTTCAAAGAAACATATTGATTCAACTCTTTCTCGTCCAAAGCCAATATTTCGCTAGGTTTCAACCCGTATCTATTAGATTTGATCTTGACATATTTAAATCTAGTTTTCAAGTCTCCAATTGTATCCTCATAGTCCAAATTATAAAATTCCTCCCACATATCCTGTAAAGCTTTCTGAACAGAAGACATTTTACGCTTTCTTTTCCGCTGACCTTCCTCGGTTTCCTCTTCCTTACTTTCCTCATCATCTTCTTCATCTTCACTTTTGTGTTCTTTACTCTCGTCATCACCATCACCACCATCATCTTCTTCATCTTCACTTTTGTGTTCTTCACTCATCATCATCATCATCATCATCATCATCATCGCCATTTCTGTCTTCAACCTCCTCTCCCTTTTCTTCTTCTCCTGAATCATGACCCCCATTACTCTGTAATTTTTTTTATTCCTTTCCCTTGCAGCCAAAAAACCATCATTAGACTCGAGCACATCCCACCCTTTAGGAAGTCCAAGCAACTCATCCTCCTTATCAAAGTCTGGTTTCTCAATGTTATCACTATCACTATTTAACTCAACATCTTCATCATCGTAATACTTCTCATCAAATACAGCCTTCATCATCTTATCATACTCCTCAGGATCAAATTCCTCCTCTAAATCCTTTGCACTAAACGGACAATCATCTTTCTTAATGCCAGCAATCTCCAGAACCTTCTTCATTCTCTCCTTAATTTCTTCCTTCTTCAGATTCTTCAGATGCTTCAACTCCTCTTTCCTTTCAATTTCTGCAGCCTTCATTCTCTCCTCCTTCCTTTCCCTTTGTGACTTCCTCTTGCTCTCCTTCTTCCTCACTGACCCCTCTACCTTCCTAGAGTACCCTAGAACTCTATCCTCAACATTCTCCTCATGCCTAAAGTTATACTCCAACTCGTACCCCTCTTGCCTCTCAATCTCCTCTTCGTCCCTCAACACCTCATCCACTACCTCAATATCAATCTCAAGATCCCCAACTTTCCTCTCCTTATCTATCCACATCTTGTTCTTAAAAAACTCTTTCAAGAACTTCGTATTCTCATCCATTTCTGCATCTTCCCCAAAATATTCCTCCAACTTTTTTGAAAGTTCTCCATTATTCGAGTCTTCTTTTTCCTCATCATACTTGCCCTTTTTGTCCTTTACTCTCAAGAAACCCCCATCATCCTCATTTTCAAATTCTTCTGTTGCATCCAAAAGAGCCTTCTTTATCTCTTCTTGTTCTTCATCGTAAGTCTTCTTTGCCTTAACAAGAGCATCCTGTTCCTCAAAATCAGGCCCTTCTTCAATCAAGTGCTTTGCAACCACATCTTTTAAATACATTGACTTCTTATCTTTCTTTTCTTTCTGCTTGTTTTCTTCTTCATCTTCTTTGCTTCTTTCCTCATCATCAGACTCAAAAAGCTTCACATCTTCTTCCTTCAATTTTGGGTCACGACTTCTCACCTGGGTTAGAACATTGAAATTCCAAAATGTATAAATTGAAAAAGTTTCAATTTCCACACCAATGTAGTAAGACAACACTTATCTCATATTACTAACAAGTAATCAATTCAAAAGCAAGTCAGATACTACCGGAAAAGCATGCTGTTTTATCTAGATTACAAACGTGATAAGAGAAAAATGGTTCAATGCAAAGAAAACTTTGTATAATTATCAGGCACGTTATTTGCTCTTCTTTTTCTTCCTAAAAAAGATTCTACAAATCAAAATATGATCATAAAAGCAAAACCATAATCAATCAAAAATCGCAGAGCAACTAAAACAGAACACCAATTAGGCTTTTCTTTAAAAGAGGGGGGTGGTGGAAAAGAAATTCATTACCCTGAGTAGAGCTTTGAAGAAATCTTCATCTTTCTTTCGGAGGGTAATTTGGTCACTGAACAACTCATTGTCGTCGTCGTCATCATCATCAGAAGATTCTTCTTCAGATTCTTCAACATGGCCTCTCTTCTTCAGTTCCTCGTACCTCTGGAGATCCTCCCGCTTCTTGTTGTGCTCGAATCTTCGAGCATACTCTTTGTTGATTTCAATCTTTGATATATCATCGTTTTGGAGATCAACATCTTCGTTGAAAAGCTTCATACCCAGTGTTTTTAAGCTTTGCCTTCTCCCCTCTTGTTCTTTCGTTCCACTGGCTACGCCTAAAGAAATGGGGAATAATCGTTGGTTTTTGAAGAGCTTCTGAGTATGAGATGGGCGGCTGTCTAGGGCTAGACCGTAAAATGATAAAGGATAAAAATTAGGGTTATTGGCGGCTTCTACAGCTTCTGCGTTCTGAAGATAGAGAAGGAACATCAAATGCTTAGAGCTTCTATTTTATTTTGGCATAAAGTTAAAAAATTCAAAATTACGGGATTCGTTTAGGTGTCTCGTGTTATACCCTCAATATAAGTGTTTAATATTTTCGGTGATATCATTTTAAGGGTTTATATTATCATGTATGTTAAAAATCAATCAATCAAGGTAAAACTTAATTTTTTTTTATTTTTTTACTTAAAAAATTGTAAACAAAAAATATAATTTTTTATTTTTCAAAAAATACACCAAAATTCATAAAACTCTATAATATTCCTTCATTTTCTTCGTCAATCATAATCGACCTTCATCTACAGTTCCATGCAAAAGGATTTGTCTCTTGAGATTTGGACACTTAATATTTTGCGACTTTTTTAAGATTTTAGATAAATTTAACTTTTTTAAAGTAATAATAATTTTAAGTTTTTTTTATTTTTTTATTTATAAATATGTCACATGTAACATTTTGAGTAGTTGATAAAAAAATTATTAACGTTTGTGATAGATCAAACACTTAAAATAGTAAAGTTGTTATGTACCTATTTTGACAAAAAATATCAAGCATCTAGACATGAAAATATGTATAGTTTGGAGACACTTTTGTAATTAAGCCTTTTTAACTTTACATTTTCTTACTTGAAGTTTTTAAACTATTTTTAGTTAAAATTATTATGCTCTAATGATATATGAGATTCTTAATTTTTTTCAAAAAATCCAAGTTGTCTTCAAATTATTTTTATATTTAATGTGATCTTTAAACTTAGGAAAAAATGTATCATGGTCCTTCGTCCAACAATTCTCGTCATTGATGTTATGATGCTCACGTGATACTTTATGATGTTGATGTGATAGTCTTCAGTGTTGACGTTATTTTCAACAACAAAAAAATAGTGCTGACGTGGATGCTCACGATAATCAGTGGCATGACAAATAAGATGATTTTTTGGTCGATTTCGAATGTCAATTTTTTTTTTAAATTTAGGGATCTATGTAAATTTTTTAAAAAATATAAAATATTTAAATTTAAAACATAAAATATTTTAAAATTAAATAAAAAATACTAAAAATAAAAAGTAAATTACTTATATTATTATTAAATGAACTTTTTTATTATACTATACTTATTATTATTATTAGATTAGAAGACTCCATTAACTATTTAAGTTTAAATAAATATTATAATATTATAAAAAATGATAAAAAAATAAAATGATTTTAAAAATTAAATAAGTTTACCTTTTAATTTAATAATGATGTAAATAAGTATTAAGTTCAATATAATAAAAAAATATTCATACTACAATTGAGTTGCTAAGATTTCAACCATTAATTTAAAGTGTCTTATATTAAAATCTTATAATCATAAAAAATATTTATTTTATAGTGATACTGTTATATAAGTTAAATAAACAATGCGGTGAAATTAACCTAAATGATTAGCTTAGCTCAATAATTGAGTGTCTTGCATTTTATGCAAGTGTCCTAGGCAGGAACGGATCCCTTATTTTTATTAAAAAATAAAGGGATAAATATTAAATAAGGGATATAAATTTTAATTTATTTTAATTTGTCCTCTCATTTTTTATGGTTAATTATACTTTACCCCTCATTTTCTAAGATTGATTGCACTTTGCTCCTTTTAAGTTGGATCCTGACTCAGTCCATGGTCCTAGATTCAATTCAAGCTGAAAACACGAATAATTTTTTTATATTTTGTTTTCATATATGTTATTACCTAATCGGTTGAGTAAAATTAAATATAAAATGCATAAACAAAATCATATATATAAAAATAAAAAAAATAATTTTTTTGATTGATTTCTGTATGTAGAAAATAATTTAAATTAATGATATATTTCGATATTAGATATTAAAGTTATCATATTTTTAACAATTAATTTATGGGAGGATGACGGCGGAAATAGACATTTTCAATTGTCAAATTAATGTTTGTAATAATAATAATAATAATATATTAGGTCATTTTTAACTCAAAACTTTAACAAAAACTTTATTATCATTTTTTATTATAATCTGTAAAATATAAAATAATATTTATTTAAAGATAATTTTCAATTATTTGATATTTGATATTTAATGTTTATATTTTTTATGTTTATGATGTTTAACTAAAATCTTTAAGAAGAATAATTTCTTTACGAATGAAGTGCTTGTTTCGTGCTAGGCGACTCCATTTTAAGTATTAGTAGTTAGTCTTCCTCGTTTCCACTTGACTCCTTTTCCTTGTCAGCGAAAACCCATGGAAATTAACCGCTAAAATCTTTCCCTTCGTTCTCCCTCCATTTTCCTTCTCATTTAAATGGACCGCCCAACTCCTCAAAACTAACCAGTAACCGCTTGTAAGTGGTATTATACTGGTGATTATTTTTTGTATCATACTGTTTGCTAATTTATGGTGATTTTTGTTCAAGGTAAGGGATGTTTTTTCGACTGATGATTTCTCAATATATATATATATATATGAGTTAGATCCACTTAAACAATTAGTTTTACATTTAATTGAATAAGTCAAAATAGTCAACTGAGAATTACTTTTTTTATTCCTCTAGTGAATATATTTTCATTTATTACTGATAATGTCAGCTATGGATTTTCACTCATGCGATCCGACGATCTTTAATTTTCTGTAAAACTAAGAGTTTTACATTATGTAATAATATCCTAGCCCCATATATATATATATATATATATATATATATATATATATATATATATATATATATATATATATATTAGTGTTATGAGAATTCTTTGATTTTTTTTTCATCTGCTTCGAGCCTTGGTTTAAGCTAACTGTTATATTTTGTATAATATGAGAAAGAGATTCTCATCCACCCGCTCGCACATGAATTTCTATGTCAGTATACTCTTAATTTAAAGCTCACATGAAGCTGGATTATGATGATCAATTATTTCCAACTGCAAATTTTGGAAATGAAAGAAGGGTTAGGGGCATTTAGGGAATTGAACTTAGGACCTCTAATACTCGAGGAGAGAATCATACAACTAGATTATATGATCAATTAATGATGTTCACTAGAATGTGCTTTTAGTTATCTCTATTTCTTCAAGACCTTGTAAATTTGGATTGGGTTCTCTCTGCTAATTTGTTGCAAGTTGAATGCTGGTGGAATTATATGACTAGCTGAAATACCCTATGTTAGAATCATTAGCCCTTTTCTTCAAGAATCTGATAAATTTATATGTATATATGACTATATGCTAAGTTGTTGGCGACTTGAATGTTGTACAAGAATGGTTTAAAGAAGATCTTATTGAACAATTAGGTAGTTAGTGACTACTCAACCAATGTTGCGTCCCTGAAGCCTTCTCTTTTTGGGGATCTGCATTGCAAACTGAATGGTAAAGCCTTACCTTATATTTTGGTGACTTCCTGCTGACTGATGTTAGAAAACAAATCTAGATGAAGTAGATAATTTTTATACTGTGCTTCCAAATTAGGTTTCTGGTTAGACTCTTATGATCAATATTTCTGGTTTGACTGTTTGATTCGGACCTTTCGCACCCCAAGCAAGAATCATACCACTAGACCAAACGCCCAACCTTTGATGTTTAACTGAATTTGTTTTTAGCTATTATCTCTTTTCTTCAAGATTTTGCCAAGTATTTTTGTGTTTCTGTTGACTTGTTAGCAACTTGTTCTGTGATTTGACTACTACCTTGGTATTCAAAGAAGTAGTTCAAGGATGTGCTTTTTCGGCAATTAGGCAGTTTCAACTGATTATTACATGTTGTGTCCTAATAACCTTTTGGTTGTTGAGCTTTCAAAACCAAAGTCCAAACTCTATTGATGTAATAGGTGGGGGTTCTATCTACTTTGGCCTCTAAAACCATTTGGTAATTTTGCTAAGAATTCTGAAATGAATCCCACCTTGACTTGTTTGCACCTTTGCAGATTTTTCATTCACTACTAATTGAACAAAAAGATAAAAAGAAAGAAAATGAGGCTATGTGTTGATTAAGAACTGGATGGATTTTTCATTCACTAGGTTTTGTTGCCTTAAAACAATTATATAATACTTTGAAAGATGACTGAGGCCACATTCCTCTAGCCAAATTTTTAAACGGCAATACAAGATCCTAAAAAACAGTGGCTGGGGCATTCTGGGAATAAAACTCGGGACCTCTCTCACCCAAAGCGAGAGTCATGACACTAGACCAAATGCTCTCTATCTTGTTGTCTATAATGTGTTATCACTATTACATGTATATGTTGTAAATCTTCAAGAAATGGCACATACCTTTAATTGACAATGAAGTCTGATTAGAACTGAATTGTTTGTGAGCTTTTCTTCTAGTGGAAATGTGAAATACACAGTAAAGTACTTCAGATTTGTTCATAGAAGAGCATACAACACAATTAGCAGTTTATCAGGAATTGTTCACAAATTTACATGTCCGAATAGCCTTTTCTCTTCAAGGCTCTAAAGGATGATACTGCAGTAATCTATATGTGCAGTGGATGCCAACTACTTTAGCTGTAAACTGTAAAGTCTTTCCCTAATTTCTTTGAGCGAGGCTTGAATCCTGTTTTGACCTTTGGTTGAAGGCTTATTGGTGCAAGAAAAGGGCTAAATTGAGGAAGCTCATACTTGGGAAGAAAAAAACACATCTCTTTTCTGTTAGCCTTTTGTTTTGTGATTTTAGCTAAATTTGTTGTAGTTGATCGATCTATTATTCCTTTGTTTTGTAGGATTAAGCCAGATTTCCATTTTCTATAACCGATTACCGTATGTGGCTAGCTTTCCCCCTTGCAAATATAGTACGTGCAGCGTTCTTTCCCCCCTCTTTTCTTCTACGGTCTTATTAGGAAACAGGTCAATCTAACTCCATAAACTTCTTTGTTATGCAATTAAAGTTGACTTTGGGATAGATTCCTCTAATAAAAATATTTCAGCATATAATATTGGAAACCAAAAGAAAAAAAAGCAAGGCATCAAGGCATTCTGAGAATCAATTTCGGGACCTCTTGTACCTAAAGCTAGAACCATACGACCAGGCCAAACACCTGAATTATTATAACTATCATTTCTGGTTTATATATTTCGAAGGTCTCCCTTTAATTGCCAAAATACTTATTCGTAAAGGAGTAAACATCTTTTAATCTCTCACTTTTATGCGGTTTAGTGTACCGTTCCCCTGCTACAATTGGATTCTAGAGGGATTTGAAACTGCAGAAATACAAGGTTGTACTTTCTTCTATGTTGATGCCATTTTATATTTTATTAATTTGGAATATGGTTTCACCAGAAGCCAAAACACCTACAGGTTGTGAACTTCCCAAATTTTATAATTTCTTTAAATAAATGGTTTCTGACGGCAAAATAGATCATTTGCGAGTTTTGGGTCATAAAAGCCATAATCCTTTGATTTATTCTTCAAAATGGTTCTAACTACAAACTTGCAGAAACAATTGGCAGCTGTGTGGAAAGCTAATCACAGCATGTAATGGCAAGATAAACTTTTTCAAGCAGAATATCGATGTCTTTGGCTGTCAGTTTTGCTTATAAATTGTTTTTCTTTTTGCAGAAAGATGGAGGACTGAGCCCGCCTTCAGAAAAGGGTAAGGGGAGTGGATATTGTGGCCATATGACTACTGGCCCGAGCTAGTATAGCCTGGAAGTTCATTTATTTGTTGCGGATCTCAGATTTTTCAATGACTATAAGATTAGAGGTACAAAAAATAACTTTTGGAAAATAGCACAGTTTATTTATTTTTACTCACTGCGAAGGAATCTTGTCAGAAAACAAACCCTTTTCAAGTTAAGCATTTCTCTATCATTCCACTTTTGGATTTGACTTCGGTGCCTGGTTCTCTGATCATTTAATTCGGGACCTCTCGCACCCTATGCTAGAATCATACCACTGGACCAAATTATGCATATTGATTTTTATCATATTTAATTTTTTACTACCAGTTTTGTGAAACTTCGTATTAACTTTCGATGGGCTACCTATTCTTTGACAGGTAATGGGAGATCTAATGTTTCCTGATGCTAGAAAGATTACACAACATTCCATTTTATAATGACAATTATTCCAGGTACAATATTTCATTACTTATTAGAAAAAGGATCATTCCAAAGTCTATAAAATTTTGTACTATGCTCTTAGAGTTGACTTCAGTACAGATTCCTCTAATAAAATCTTTTAGGATATAGTATACAGAACCAAATGGGATGGAAAAAAAAGAAATTGGGGCATTCCGAGAATCGAACTCGGGACCTCTCGCACCCAAAGCGAGAATCATACCACTAGACCAAATGCCCAATTTTTATACACATCAGATCAGGTTTATAGTTATCAGATCGTTCTTCCTAGAATTCTTATTAATTTTCAGTGGTCTTATTCTTGGAGGACCAAAGTTTCTGATTTCTCAATTTTAATGTGGTTCAATGTATCATTGGCCTCATAGGATACTATGGGCTTTCGAAATTGCATTAGGACCAAGTTACAACTCTTATCTATATTTTATCCCCAGCATATTCATATCAAGTCAGAATATGGATACCCCTAGCGGTCAAACCATATGTCATAAATCTCCCAGATTTTATAAATTCCTTTTAACCGGGAAGAGTCTGCCTGATAAATCGATAGTTTTTTTAGTTATTGTTCATTGAAACTAGTATATTTTGATTTATACTTCAAATTAATTTAAAAAATGAAATTGCCGAACAACTTGCAGCTAGTAGAAATCTAATGTAGGTTTAATGCCGTAATAAACTTTTAAAGTTGGTTATATACTCTTTAGATCTTAATGCTGCTGGCGAAATTGTTTGGTTATTGCATAAGGATGTTGGTCTTAATCCCACCTTCACCGAAGTGTATCTGAGTGAGGTTGCGGGAAGGGGGAGAAGTAGCCCTTCATATTGTAGCCTGGTAGTTGGACCAGGAAAAAAAGAAATAAAAGCGGTCTTAGCAGATGGAGAAGATGGATACTCACGAAGAAAGGATGAAAATATTTGCCTTTGATTCTACGTTTTTGGCTGGAATATGAATAGGTATCTTCAGTAAAATATTTATTATGTTTATTTGTGCTATTTGTTAGTCAATTTTTCATTTTTTCCTTTTTTTTTTTCTGGATTATTATAAGATTAAGGCCCAAGATACAACGATGAACTTTGGAAAATGGCAACAATCTATTTAATTTTTACTCACTGCAAAATAATTTTGTCAGGGAACAAATAGATCTGATGTTTTTACTTTTTAACGTTGACTTAACTGATTATATTATCATATATTTAAAAATAGCGAGCACAAAAGGATTAGGTGCTGGAGCATTCCGGTAATTGAACTCAGATGCACCCTAAGTGAGAATCACATCACTAGACCAAACGCCCAGCTTGATGTTTATAGTGTTTACTATTTTTATGTGTTTCTATGGTCCCATTAACACCCGATGAATAGTTCCTAATTAGCTGCCCATTGTTTCTACTCTTGCTTTTCATGCGCACCTAGTATAATCTTCTTGCTATAGTGATTTTAGTCTCTTACTTTTTTGGTCATTCTGTTAGAGTTTCCGTGTTAGAGTTTGATGCCTCCATTGCCTCTTAAAACATGGACCTTGGGTTTGATTTGGATCATTTTGTTGCATAGAAATGATGTTAATTTACACGTCTTGATTTCAAATTTGGGTAAACTAAACAGCAAGATTTATGGACAATGAATTTAGATATTTTATTTGTACTTTCTTTCATTAGTCGGTAAATACTTGATTGATAATTAGATGGTTAGCGAGCTCTGTCATAGACTTAAGGTACCCATGAAGTGATATAAAGATGAGCTTGCCAGACAATATGCCCATTATGCAGAAAGTTAACCACAAAATGTCGTTTTGTTTGTTGGACCTGCAGGCCAAGTGCAAGAGAAGCTTTGCTTGTATTTTGTCCTGCTCCTCAAAAGTGTGTTCATCCCACGTGGATGAGCTGCCTTTTCTTTGAGAGGTTATAGCAGATCCGACATTTCCTGATATTATGTCAAATCTACAATGTGGTTCTTCCCTTTCCTTGTGTTTTAGCAAGTCTTTGCTGATTGAAGTTGGAAAACGAATAAAATGAAGTTGATAAATTTTATATTGTTCTGTATTTTTTTTAAAAGTGGACTTCAGTACACACTTCTCTAATAGAACACTTTAGGATATAATATAGGAAACGAAAAAGAAAAAGGGGCATTCCAAAAATTGAACTCAGGACTTCTCACACCCAAATCAAGAATCATACCACTATATTGAATACCCAATTTTTTACACTAAACTTGTCTAGTTTCTAGTTATTAGATCTGTTCTCCTAGGACTGCTATTGACTTTCTAGGGACTCATTCTTGAAAGACCAAAATTTTCCAATCTCTCACTTCTGATGTGGTTCAATGTATCATTCACATGCTACAATTGGATGCTAAGGGCATTACCACTAGATTACAGCTTTTGTCTACATTTCAGTCCCAATATATTGTTATTGATTCATAATATGGATCCCCTAGGGGCCAAAACATCTATATGTTGTGGATCGCCCAAATTTTATAAATTTCTTTCAATCGTGAAGAGTCTGTCTGTCAAATCAATTGTCTTTTTAGTTATTTTTGTGCACAGAAATTATAATATTTTGATTTATACTTCAAAGTATTTTAAAAAATGAAATTATTGAAAAACTGGCAGCTAGTAGAAACAAAATCACTGTTTATTATCCTAATAAACTTTTCAAGCTGGTCGTCATAGTCTTTAGATCTTTAGTGTATCTGGTAAAATTGTGTCTGGTTATTGCGGAATGATGTAGGGGCTTCACTAAAGGGAATGGGAATGGGGTTGAGCTAGCTCACTTAGTATAGCGCGGTATTTGGATCAGGAAGTAGAAGCAATCTTAGCGTATAGGGAAGATGGAAACTCACTCAGAAAGGAGGAAAGTACTTTGCCTATTTTGTTACATCTTTTTCTGGAAAATACTTGGGCGTCTTCAGTAAAAAAAAATTAAACAGCCAGTCAAATGTAATCTTTATTATGTTATATTTGCACCCTTTGGTAGTCAAGTTTCCTTTTTCTGGATGACTATAAGGTGAAGGGTACAACAAGAAACTTTGGGGGATGGAAACAATCTATCTATTTATTTTTTACTCACTAAACAAGAAGCTTGTCAGAAAACAAATAGATATGATATTTTGCTTTTAATGTTGACTTAAATGTTGGTTCTTGATTATATATTTGAAAATAAGGGGACATAAAAAGGAAAATGGACAGAGGCATTCCAAGAATTGAACTTAGGACCTCTTGCACCTTAGGCGAGAATCATACCACTAGACCAAATACCCTACCTAGTTAATTAAAATGTTTTGTAATTTTATGAGTTTCTAGGGTCTTACTAACTCTCGATGGGTAATACCGCATGAGCTGCTCAATGTTCCTTCTCTTGCTTTTGATGTGCTCCTAGAATAATTTCCTAGCTATTGTGATTTTAGCCTCATGCTTTTGTTGTGTTTCCGTTATTGTTTCCCTCTGAGAGTTCGATGCCACCATTGCCTCTTAAAACTTGGACTCTGAATTTACCTCTTAAAATGATGGTTCATACTTCTTAATTTCAGATTTGGACCCTGAATTCAAAGGTAAGATTAGGGACCATGAATTTGCCTCCTAGAATAATTTTTTCGTACTACATTACTTTATTGGGTAAATGCTTGGTTGATAGGTAGATGTCTAGCAAGCTCTGTCACTAACTTATGATACGTAGAATAATACTGTAAAGTGATGTAAAATAAAAGCTTACAGGACAATTTTGGGGCATTCCAAGAATCGAACTCAGGACCTCTCGCACCCGAAGCGAGAATCATACCACTTGACCAAATGCCCAATGAGGTTGTGTGTGATGTTTACTCATTATTATATCATCTATAAACTGTAAATATTAAAGAAATGACTACTACCTCTAACTGTTGATGAAGTCTCTTTTGAGAACTGGATTGTTATTAGCTTTTCTACAAGTGGAATACGTAGGAAGGTGCTTCTGAGTTGTTTAAAGAGGAGCATACTGTTAAAAAAATTACATGTCCTAATAGCCCTTTCTCTGCAAGGATCTGAAGGATGATACTATAGTCTTCTATACATGCATGGGATGCTAACTACTTTAGCTGTAAAGTGTGAAGTCTTTCTGTAATTTCTTTGAGCAAGGCTTCAATCCTGTTTTCACCATTGGTTGAAGGATTATTGCTGCAAGAGAAGGGCTAAATGGAGGAAGCACATACTCTGGAAGAAGAACACACATGTCTTTTCTGTTAGCCTTTTGTTTTGTCATTTTTACTAAACTGATTGATATTGATTGGTTTCTTATTTCTTTAGTTTGTTGCGTTAAGCCAGATTTTCATTTTTCTAAGACCGATTACCATATGTGTCTAGCTTGCCCACTTTCAAAGATAGCATATGCAGCCTATTTAACCGTCTCTTCTTCTGAGGTCTTTTTAGAAACTATATCAATCTACGTCCATAAACTTCTCCGTGATGCACTTAAAGTTGGCTTTGGGATAGATTCCTCTAATAAAAATATTTTAGTATATAATATAGGGAACAAGAGAAAGATGCAAGGCCGAGGCATTCTAAGAAAGTTGGATTTGGGAAGAGTCTGAATGCTAAATCTATAGTTTGTTTAGTTATCGTACTTGAATACTCTGATTTGTACTTCAAAATAATTTTAAAAGTGAATTTACTAAACAACTGGGCAGCTAGAAGGAACCTAATCACTATTTAATGTCTTAATAAACTTTTCAAGCTGGTTATCATGGTCTTTCCATCCTAATTTAGCTGGTAAATTTGTTTGGTCATTGCTTAAGGATGTAGATCTGAATCCCATCTTCAACAAAGGGTAAGGTAGTCGGTGTTGAGAGAAGGGGTAGAGCCAGCACATAAAGTGTAGCATGCTAGTTGGATTTGAAGGGGGGGGGGGGAAGAAGCAGCCTCACTCTGTAAACATTATATTTATTTTCACTTGCAGCAAAAGAATCTTGTCAGAAAACAAACAAATATGATGTTTTACTTATAAATTTGACTTAACAGCTGATTCTCCTATAATAAATTTGATATTTGGAGGACTTAAATATTATAAAAATGAAAGTATCGGGGGCATTCCGAGAATTGAACTCGGGACCTCTCGCACCCTAAGCGAGAATCATACCACTAGACCAAATGCCCAACTTTAATATTATAATGTTATAAAAACAATTTATTTTTTGGATTATAGGTCCTAATACCTCTCTATGAGTAATACCACATGAGCTGGCCATTGTTTCTTCTCTTGCTTTTGACGTGCTTCCAGTTTCCTTGCTATAGTGATTTCATTCTCTTGCTTGTGTTGTAATCCAGTTTATAGGTCCTAATACCTCTCTATGGGTAACATTTGAAAGAATCAATAATCATGTGAATTTATCATGATTACTTTTTGCGTATCTATGCTTTCCATATCTCCCAAACTTCATTTCTCTCTCTTACAACTGCCTCTTCCCTTGTGTCATTCTTGCTGTCAATTTCTAGTCATTTAATAGGAGGATTATTGCTGCATATGGTTGTTGTATAGTTTTCCTATATATAGGTAGAATTATCTTTAGATTTGATTGGTTTGATTCATAGTTATAGCCACAGGATAAGTATTTGAATGTATTTTTTTAATAAAATTTGAATGTATTTCATATGTTCATGTAGTGACCATATGAATATCATACATTTTAAAATGCATATATTGATCTACTCATTTGGTGCTACTGTTGCCTTTTGAGGAAATGCAGGTAAGCTACAAAATTATGATCAACATGCGTGCCACTGCAGGTCTATGTGATGAAGTTGATATAACTTATTGAAGCCATGCATAGAGACGGTCCCTCACCTGACTCCTTTCCCTTATTCAGGCTTATACCGAGTGTTTGAAATATGCAGAAGTTGAGTGGAGTATAACATCTATGAGAAGGATGGGCATCTTGCCAACTTGTGCTCATTTTAATCTTTTATTATATGCTTTTGCAAAAGTAGGGATGACACGGGAAGAAGATAGAGTTTATAAGGAGATAATTACAAGTGGTATAAGTCCTGACCGGGCATGTTACCGCACCATGCTAAGATGTTAAATTGAATATGGATTGGTGGAAGAAGGCATAAGCTTTGTTTTGAGCAGATCAGGACAGGGATAATGTGGAACCAGATAGGTATCATCATAAGCGCTGGTGTGCAAATTTACAAGTATGCGGAAAAGGAACCTGAAGTATTCAGGATTCCATGAGTAATTTTAGGGGTCCCATTTTTGGAAAACCTCAAAGTAGGGAGTCAAGTGTGTGTGTGTGTTAGGGGTGAATTTATAAAATTCTAGAGGAAGAAAATAGATTTTTAATAGAAAAATACATTAAAAAATCTAAAATATATGATAATTTTAAATTTTTAAGAGGGATGACGGCCCTATCTCTTCCTCTCGGTCCATCATTGTTCAGCAAATCATATGGAGTCTGCTCCACTGAACTTCTCAAGTGTTGTAATTCTTAAAGATATGGTGAGGATGTTACTCTTGTTCTAAATAGAAAACAAAATCAAGATTTGTATGAGCTTTAATAAAGGGCAGGGATTCGGATTTTAGCATATGTGTTTGTTGTTCTTTTCTTTTGGTAAAATGCATGTTTTTTTTCCTCATCTGCAGTCAGGTTTGACATTATTTTCCTTTTACACTGTTTGTTTACTTTCATTTTTACCCCTTTGATATCTATGGTCGTGCTTACCAATTAGGCAATTACCATCCTTGTTTTGATTTAGTTACCCGAGTTTAGGGTGTAAATCAACATAACGTTTGATGAACTGTTAGTATAATATTTATTTATGCTTATATATTGAGTTAAAAAAATATGGATAAAATTTTTATGTTCATTTAATAAAGAATTAATTGCATCACATATCCTTAAAGTATGACATTCATTTTAAATTAGTCCCTAATTTTTACATATTTCAATTTCATCCCTAAACTATGATTATCATTCTAAATTAATCCTCAAACTTTTGAATATTTCAATTTCATACCAAACTATGACATTCATTATAAATTGATCCCCAAACTTTTTAAACATTCTAATTTCATCCCAAACTATATGTATATATTAATCACGTCCCTTATTAATAAAATCGTTAGGTCAAGTGATGTTATTATATGTTTGAAAAAAACAAAATTTAAGTTAAAATTAATTACATATTTGGATGAATTTGGGGATGAAATTGAAATATTCAAAAGTTTAAGGATCAATTTAAAAAGAGGGTCATAGTTTATGAATGAAATTAGAATGTTCAAAAGTTTATGGACTAATTTAACATGTGATGAATTTTGGAGTTCAAACTATAGAGCCTAAAGAGCTTAAGGACTAATGACATAACTTCACCATTTTTTTTTTACTTGCAAATAAAAGGATAAAAAGAGAGTGTTGATTATCGAGGGGACTCGAACCGTAAATGTACATGAACAACAAACATATCGGAAAAATAATAATGTTAAATTAAATAATCCCCTTTTTTCCTTATAGTGAAAGTGAATGTTGTAAAAGAAAATGGTAATGTAATATTAACATATGAGCATAATAATAATGTTATCTTTAGGAAATGCAGTGAATTTTACAAAATCTTTTGCTTGCCTTGAATTATTTCATTTTTTAAAATAAAAAATGCAGCAAGCTGAAATTAAGTTTATTTATTTTTCTTAGATTCAAGTCAATATTTGATGCCACTATATTATTTTGTTTATACATTTAAAAGATTATATCAAATGGCCCCGTGCCTTCAAATTCACTCTATCAGAACAAAGAGGCAAAGTGGACTAAAAAAAAGTTATCTTCATCCATGAGATACCAAATTAACTTTTTTCCTAGATGTTGCAGAAGTTTGTTTTCTTTTGGAGAAAAAAGGATGAACTATCCTGCATGTTTGAACTTGCATAGGGATGTATTCTACTAAGCATTCGACCATTGCATAGGTAAGCATGGCGCTGAAACTTATAGACATTTCGCCTCAATTTCCTCGAGCGTCAGCCCCTTCGTCTCCGGTATGATGAAGAATATAAAGATGAGAGATAATATAGCTATGACTCCAAACACATAAAACACAATTCCAGCTCCAAGCCATGCCTGTAGTAAAAAAACGAAACAACAGTAACCACCAGCAATTCCTAAAAACAAAGGAATTTCAAAGAGGGAAAGAGTTGAAAAATAAAACAAAAGTTGACCTTGATCAACAAAATTTTAGTGAACTTTAGTACTTAAAAATATCTTGCATCCTTCATGTGTGTGTCTATACTGTATATAGGAATTGAGGCAACCTAACTCTCATTTCCTTAAGTAGCCGTGTTCGACACATATTTGGAATGTACACACACCATGTAGGTCACATAGTAAGATTAAGCATACCTATGTAGGACACATACCCACATGCGAAACTTACCCCGAGTCAAAGAAACGGAATTCAACAGCAAGTGAACAGAATAGTTAAGAGAATAATACTACTATTTATTCACTTCAGACATATCTTACATTTATAGAGACACTATGACTGTCTCTGTATTACTGGATAGGATGCATCTAAGGGATGAAATTAACAAATCATTCAAAGGAGTCATGATTGAGACAGTAAATATGTTGGAAATGCTCATGTACCTTCAAAGGAGAGAATGCAAATGTTACAAGTGCATTTGCTCCGAAATTCACAAGCACAGCAACACTAAGTCCTCGCCCTCTGAGGCGTAGGGGAAAAACCTCGGAGATCATCAGCCAGCCGATAGGACCAAAAGATAGCTGCAACACAAGTTTTACAAGGCACAAAAGCCAAAAAATAAATGAATAAATAAATAGATTTGAATCCAAAATTAATAATCCAGTATTGTGAGAAATGGCAAAAAGTCTTTAGTACAACTAATCAAATGCTCATAAAAGAATTTTAGACACAAATAATAATTAATAGAAGTATGGCTTGGGCGTAATAATTTTTCAGCCTAACCAACATCAATAGAAACCAATAAGGTAATGATGGCATTAATGAGTTCTACTAAAGATGAGCAGTCATATTAGAATTACAAAAAGTGCAAAAGAGAATTAACACGAAGAAAGGAAAGATGATAACCTGATAACATCCAACATACAACAGCAGTGCAACAACAGCAATAGCCGCCAAATCATCCAGGAAAAGATAGTATGATCCAAGAAGGAACAAAGAAATAACCTGTTGCACAGACAACAACATATTTCATAATAGGATATTGTTTTAAATTATCACTGGAATTTCAAGTCAAATAGTTGAACTCAGATTTGATTTATTTACTTGCAGGGATTAAGAATAAGACTCGAACAAGTAGAAACATGGAGCCAACAGAATGGCCAAATGAATTAGACAAAGCAAGTAAACTTTTGCCTCTAACAGATCAAGAAAAAAAAAGAGATAAAGAGACTTACCATCCCAGAAACTCCACCCAATAATAAAGGTCTCCTCCCAAGCCTATCAACAACTACAACAGCTATTCCTGTCATAATCAACTATAGCAACAAACATGTCAAGACTTTCTGGTTGAAACAGCTGCCAAGTCCCAATTTGGGGAAGATATGTCAATTATGCAGAATGGAGAAATGGGAGCCATCTTATAGGTGTAAACGATTTTTAAAACAAATAATTTTTTTTGTGATGATATCTTATAGGATGTAACAAATGTTTCATTATGCTGATGCTTGTACAACTGGAGAATTGGAGATAGCTAATCGTGCAATGAACAGAATTGGAACAGGACACCAAAGATCTTTAGTTTCTCAAAGGACCCCATCATACATCTGGTAAATACAAGGCTAACCCTTATAGTCTTTGAAAATGTTACTGAATATCTTTCCTGGTTGAATAGCATAGTCCAGCATCTCATGTCAACTGAGTAAATTGAAGGCTAACACTCTAGACTTCGAAAATGTTAGTGAATATCTTTCCTATGGTTGAATAGAGGAGTCAAGCATCTTGTGTGTTGTGTCAACTAAGTAAATGAAACTTTACTGAGCAGATATGTATACCCACGAATGCATGAAGCAATAAAACATAAATATGTAAACATATAGAAAATTAAAAGTTTCTGAAAAAACTTATCTGTTAAGGAAAAGAATCTACCTTCAGTAAACCAAGTAAAATTGAGACTCGGGTAGCATCAGATGCTGCAGAAAATCCTGCACTCTATTAGATTTTTGTCAGTTAGAATGGAGTACACGTCTTCTTCTATCCAGATCCATCAGAAAATCGCATTAAATTTGCAGCAAGTATCATAAGTGTAAATCAATTTGATACCTGAAATATTGATGCAGCATAATACAGAACACTTGGTTGACCGGTGATCTATCATGAAATTGAGGATACAAAGTCAGTCAAACTGCAGGCAGAAAATATCTACATAACATAGCTCCTTAGTTAATGGTAAATACCTGTTGAAACAAAACTAAACCTGCACCTATAAACATGGCTTTCAAGCATTTTCCATGGAATATTTCCCCTAGTGTGACTTCTTTTTCTTCACCAACATAAGAAAGCTCGGTCAAAATCTCATCTACCTGCTGAGAAGCTGAGTCACCAATAGATTGACCCCTAAGTTGACATAAACAACATATTGCAGTTTCTCTTAACTCCTGCATATTGCCCTTTCCCTGGATGGCACGTAATAGCAGCCATCTAGGTGATGCTGGAAGCCACCACAGTCCAATTCCCATGATCACTGACAAAGGGGTACTAGCTCCATACATATAGCGCCAGCCAGAAACTGTTTCAACTAAGAGGCTGCCAATTCCATAACCAGCCTGCAAAAATATCCCGTGGCTTACTGTTCCAAGTTCCAATTAAAGGGGAAAAGTTTAAAGCAGATACTGGTGCATAAGAGATCAAGTTATAATGATTTAAAACAAAATGAAAATCCCTTACAAGAGAAGAGTTGAAGTACTTACAACCATCCCAAGAACTATAAAGAACTCTTTCAGAGATATTAGTACACCACGAATCTGACTTGGAGCTGTCTCCGCAATGTACATTGGAGCAGAATGCATTGCCTAGAAGTGAATAAACTTAAGATTCATTTATTCATGCAAAAAGAACTAGATTATTTTTAAAATGAAAAAAAAACAAATAAGTAAATTCTTGTTTATAGGTACAGATGATGCTTTTCCAATGACTGACAAAAACAAATAAGTAAATTCTTGTTTATAGGTATAGATGATGTTTTCCAATGATATGTCTCACCTGCCAGCTAATTATTGAATGCGTTTTCCTGGAATACGAGTATACTGCAATGTACAGAAATTTTATCTTGTAACATGCTTCATTAAATGATAAACTTTTATGCATAGAGGTTATACATTTGCATATGTCTCAACAGAAACAGTATGTATAAACCCTAAACATAGATGTGTATGCTACATCATGGTCATCCAAAAAACTCATAAGCTGATGCTTGAGCATTTAGTATATTACCAGTCCGATCCCTATGCCATACACAAAACGTCCAATAACCATAACTACTAAGTTAGGTGCAAATGCTGTCACAAGTGCTCCTACAAGGTACATGATGGAAGCCGTAATTAACTCCCTTCGTCGTCCTATAATTCAGATAAACCATTGCAATTTCATCAGAAAAAGCCTTATAATCAAGTTCAAAGAAAGGATTCCCATCATAAAAATTTAAAATAATTAAATCAACGAACCTAGAAAGTCAGCAATACTGAAAGCCAAGATCGAGCCAATCAAGGCCCCGTATAACGAGCCACTAGTCTGTAGAGAGCAACAGAAACAGAATTTGTGAGGTAAGTTCTTTGCATTGCAACTTACAAATATATGTTTCAAAGAAAAATAAATCTTGTGCTAATAATGAGAAACAAATTGGCACTCACAATGAGACCGATTTCGACTGAAGACAAGTCATACCATGAAATTCCACTTATAGTAGCTGACTGCAGCAAAATAAAAGGATTAGATAAGCTTCCAGAAACATGGTATTTTAGATTGTAGATAAAATTTTTGTTACTGATTGTAAATATTAGTTAGTTTAGGATAAGTCTCTAGTTTATCTTTGATTTAAATTTTAAGTAGACTTTTACTTGGGTTAGACTTCTTGTACAAGAGGTCCTTTTAAAAAGGATAGAACTCACTTTTCTGTATCTGAGTTAAGAAATAGAAAAACAAAGAATTTTATTTCTCTAAACCTTACATGGTATCAGCTTGGATACGTTCCTAAACCTATCACGATATCCACAAATTCTTCAGAAATTAATTCAAGCCTCGCAAACAATTTAAGTTCTGATGGTCTGACTGAGTCTTCCTCTTTCTCAATAACAGTCCACAAATTACCAGGCCATAACTATCTTAAATGGTCTCAATCTGTGAAGATGTATATCACTGGATAGGGAAAATTAGGCTACACTACAGGGGAGCCACAAAACCAGAAGAAACAGATCCAGGGTATGAAAAATGGATCCAGGAAAACAACATGATCATGTCTTGGTTAATAAATACAATGTCACCTGCAATTGGGGAAAATTTATTGTTGTACGAAACTGCGCATGATGTATGATGTGCTGTTAAAGACACTTATTCCAGCACTGATAATATTTCTGAATTTTTTAGGATCGAGAATAAAACTTCTGATTTGAAGCAAGACGACATGAATGTGACTCGTTACTACAACACAATGACCAGGTATTGGCAACAAATTGACTTATATGAAACTAATGCTTGGCATTGTGTGAATGATGCAGCACTTTACAAGAAACTAACGAATCAAAAGAGGATTTTTCAGTTCCTGAATGACTTGCATAAAAATTTGGATGTTGTCCGCGGGAGAATCCTTAGCAACAAACCCCTTCCTTCGATCAAGGAGGTATATTTTGAAGTCTGTAGGGAAGAGAGTCGAAAAACACTCATGCTAGCTGGAACTTCCTCTCTTGATGGCTCTGCCCTTCTAACTCATGCTACATTTACTAGCAAAATCATATTAGGGGGGCCACAGTGGGATCACAGTCGTAAGGTTGGTCATCTTTGGGAGAACTGCTGGAAACTCCATGGTAAGCCTGCTGACTGAAAACCTCAGCGCATACGACCGCAAAAGGATTCTGTTGCAAACATCGCCACCGCAAAAAATACAACCAGCTTTAATCCGTAGCAGATTGAAGATCTCCAAAAATTGATTCGACAGACATTCTCGTCACTTGAAACCAATTCTGCCTCTGTCAGTCAGTTTGGTAACTTCACATTTCTCTCCAATCCTACTCAACTTTCATGGATAGTCGATTCTAGTTCTACTGATCATATGACAGGAAACCACAACCTGTTTCTAACAATTTCATAGCCAACCATCCAAAAACATGTGAAGACTGTTGATGGCACTTTAGTTGCAGTACAGACATTGGATCCGTTTTTGTTAACAATGATCTTGTGCTTCAAAATGTCCTATATGTTCCAAATCTTAAGTGCAATCTATTATCAGTTAGTCGGTTGTGCCTTGATCTTCATTGTTGTACTAAATTCAGTTTTTGTGGTTGTGTTTTTCAAGAAATGGGTTCGGAGAAAGTGATTGGCAGTGCTGATCTGTGTGGTGGATTTTTTATCATTGAAGGTCGATCTCCTCCTAAAAGAAAATCTTGTCGAGTTGCACCAACAATCCTATTTTCTTTTCTTCTCATATGTCTAACTTAAGCTCTAGTGAAATTCTGTTAGGACACTTTAGCCTTGGCCATCCCAGTTTCTATTATCTTTAGATGTTGTTTCTAAAATTGTTTCTTAATAAAAATCCAACCTTTTTTCATTGTGATATATGTGAATTTGCAAAGTATAAACGAAACCCCTATCCTTCGTCCTCTTATAAACCATCTCAACCTTTTTCTCTTATATATAGTGACATTCCTTTTTCTCTTATCCATAGTCACATTTAAGAACATTTCTGAGGCTAGGTGCTTCATTTCTTTTATTGATGATCAAACTAGGACCACTTGGACATATTTAATGAAACAAAAATCTGAAATCGGGAGTATTTTTAAGGCATTTTATATGATAATTGACACTTAATTTTATCGTAAAATTCTTATCCTAAAGAGTGATAACGGGACTGAATACTTTGCAAATACCTTGGGCAACTTTTTTGCAGAAAAAGACATCCATATTAGTTCTTGTGTCGACACTCATCAACAAAATAGGGTTGCAAAGAGAAAAAACAAACATCTTTTAGAGGTTACCCGATCTTTGCTTTTTTCTTCTAATGTTACTAAACACTTTTGGGGAGAAGCTTTACTTATTGCTACCTATCTTATAAATCGTCTACCAAGTCGAGTTTTAGGATTTAGAACATCAAGAGATGCCTTTCTTCAGCAGTTTTCGTTTTTCAAACCTATGACTTGCACATTACCGATAAGAGTTTTTTGGGTCTTCTGCCTTTGTTCACATCCATAAGCAGTTTTGGGGTAAATTAGATCCTAGGCCTGTCAAGTGTGTGTTTTTTTTTCTTTTTGATATTCTTCTCTTAAAAAGGGCTATAAATGCTATTCTCCTGTCTCTCGTAAATCCTACATTACTATGGATGTTATCTTGCATGAATTTCAATCTTATTCCTCAGATTCTGAAATTCAGGGGAGCATTGGGATGAATTTCAGCCTCAAACAATACAATTACCTGTTGATAATCCTACTCCTATACCATAATCAACTCAGCGCTTACTACAAATTGAACCAAATTCTCCTACAACGGTAAACCCTCCTTCAGCAACTCGGCTTGAACAAGGGGAACTCAATGTCTATACAAGGAGGAAGAGAAGATATGTTTCACATGTTACTACACCGGTTAGAACTGTTAAAGAGCCGAACCCAATTCCATTTCCCTTACATGATGAGCACTGCATGGATTCTTTAAATGTTGACATTGCTCCTTCGATTGATACATCTAATCTACCTATTACTCAAAGAAAAGGTGTCTGAATACTACTCATCCTATACAACGTTATGTAACCTACGGAAAATTGGTGCCTTCATTCAAGGCTTTTACTGCTTAAGTCTGTAAATGAAGCATTAAAAGATCCTAGGTGGAAGAAGATTGTTGAAGAGGAACTTCGGGCACTCAAAGACAACAAGACTTAGGTTTTGACTAATTTACCTCCAAGAAAAAGGGTAGTGAGCTGTAAATGGGTATTCACGGTTAAATACAATACAAATGGGAGCATTGTAAGGTTCAAAGCTATGCTGGTAGCGAGAGGTTTCACTCTAGACTATGGGACTGATTATCAGGAGACATTTGCTCCCATGGAAAAGCTCAACACAATGCAGATTTTGTTATCACTTACGGTGAATCTTGAATGGCCTCTTCATCAACTTGACAATAAGAATGCCTTTATTAATGAAAATCTAATGGAGGAGGTATATATGCAACAACCTCCTGGTTTAAATGCAAACTCTAGTCCAAACAAAGTATGTAAGCTACTGAAATCTTTATATGGCCTTAAACAATCACCTAGAGCTTGGTTTGATAGGTGTAATCAGGCTATACCAAAATTAGGCTATCTTCAATGTCAAACTGGTCCTACTATGTTTGTCAAAAGCTCTTTAGAAAATAAAAAGGCTATCTTGATTGTTTATGTTGATGATATAATTATCATTGGTGATGATTTCTTGGCAACCAAATTTGAAACCAAGGACCTTAGTAATTTGCGATACTTCCTTGGTATGGAGGTAGCCCGATCAAGCACTAGAATTGTGATTAATCAACAGAAGTATATTTTGGATTAACTTTCGGAGATTGGTATGGCAGGTTGTAAGCCTGCTGAGACACTCATGGAGCAGAACCTGAAATTTCGAACTGATAGAGAAAGCATTCTCGTTGACAAGGAACATTATCAACGATTGGTAGATAAACTTTTTACCTATCCCTTACAAGGCCAGATATTGCTTTTTGAGTTAGCATTGTAAGTCAATTTATGCATGATCTTAGAGAGGAGCATCTTGAAGCAGTAACTAGAATCTTGCGATACCTTAAAATGACACCAGGACATGGGCTTTTTTCACTAAGAATAAGAGAAGAAAGATAGAAGTCTTCACCAATGCAAGTTGGGCAGGAGAGCTCGCATCTCGAAGGTTCACCAGTGAGTATTACACTCGAGTCGGGTAATTTGGTGAGTTGGAGAAATAAAAAACAGAATGTAGTGTCAAGAAGCAGCGCAGAAGCTGAGTTTCGAGCTTTGGCACTAGGAATTTGTGAAGGTATTTGGCAGTACTTAAAAAGAATCATTGTGAAGTTTTTGAACTTAACTATGATAACCAATCAACAATTAACATTGCCAAAAATTCAGTACAACATGACCGAACAAAGTATGTGGAGTTAGATCATCACTTTATCTCTGAGAATGTTACAAATAGAATAGTTAAGCTTAGTTTCGTTTCTACTCGTGAGCAGCTAACCGATGTACTCACCAAGGCACTTCCTAAAATTACTTTTGACGAACATCTAAGCTGAGACTCTATAGCATATACTCGCCAGCTTGAGGGGAGCGTAGATTGTAGATAAGATGATTGTAAATAGTTAGCTTAAGATAAATCTCTAGTTTATCTTTAATTTAAGTTTTAAATAGAATTTTACTTGGGTTAGATTTCTTGTACAAGAGGTGCTTTTAAAAAGGACAGGACTCTCTTTTCTGTAAGTGAGTTAAGAAATAAAAAAACAAAGAATTATATTTCTCTAAAACTTAGGGGTATAATATAATCTGAGGAATTAATCAATAAATACCCAAATGGTACTACAATCAAAGCATGATAATTAACAATCATTACAGCAGCTCAATACTTCGTACAAAGTATACCTTAATAGAAATTGTGGCGCAGGATGTAGAACCAATATCATAACCATACAAGAGTCCCCCGAGTGCTGGGAAGAGAAATCTGAAATCAGAAAGACATTCAGTAAGAAATAACATTACACAAACGTGTAGGCTCCTAATTGAAGTTACAATAAATAATCAGCTAACCACAGAGTGGGCTTTATATTAGTTTCGATTTGATTGGTAGTTTTGAAAATTCAATGGACTGTTCCCTAAATTGTCTGTTTTGATGAATTTATTGATGAAGGATCCAGACTCGAGAATATTTCTCGAGTAAACATTCTACTAGAAACTTCTTCCATTTATGTTTACACAGCATTAACATTTCTACTCCGTCGAATAACTTCTTTAAGTCATAGTATATCTCCAGATATGATAAAATATTTTTCACTTGAAAGAAAAAGATCCACAAATTCCAGGGAAAACTCGGATTGCAACTCAATTCTTGATCAAACTATGCTATTTCAAAACGACTAAATAACAGCCACATTCATGGTAATACAAGTGAAGCATATAATGGAATAATCATAACCATATCCCCCTCATTCCCATAAATGAATTTCTTTCATACTAGGCCGAATCATAAAAGTTTAACCAGCACCTAATTGAACATTTGGCGAAGCACAATTTTTCCAACTGGTTATCATATGTTACAATCAAGGTAAGAAAGATATGGTTGCCAATGTCTTAACAAATGCATGGATGTTTATTGTTTATTATTGCATAATTAAAGATAATTCAAGAAAAAAAACCAAACCATAAATAAAAACCTTGAGGAGAAACTCACGGAAAGATAGTCGCAGAAGCAGAATAGCTCTCAGAACTGTAAACCCCATTAATAAGAGGCTCATGTTCCTGACCAATCTCACCAGAAGACGTTCCATCCTAATAAAATAACAATATAATTAACAACTCCAAAATTAACTCATGCTGCAAAAAGGGAAGGCTATTGGTTAGTTACAGAGAAATCAGGGACTCTAAATGATATACTGACAAATTAAAGGCACATTAATGTCTTCTAACCATGAATTTAAATAAATCAAAAACTCATTGAAGTGAATCAATTTTAAGCATTAATATGAAGTAAGAAGCATTCGTAACTTGTTTTACTCAAAAACTATTTAGAAGAAAGGTATTAAGCTTGTACTTTTCTGGGTTTTTTTAGTTAGTTTCCAGCTCTTGAAAAGGAAAAGGAAAAAGAAACAAAATCCTTCCTTTGTTTGATAAGCAAACACCAAGGTAACTTTAAAAATATATATATATAACAAATATTAATGTTCAAGAGCCACAAAACGGTTCACGACTTCAGTCAAACTCTTTAACAAAGATACCGAGTAATACCCAATATTGTCCATTTTCATACACGTTAAAGTATTTTCTTGGCAGCCAAACAGAGTGAAAAGGAAATCCAGATTGAGCAGTGAATACACAAAACAAACCTTTAAAAGAGAGGAAAGCCTGGGCTGCTCATGATCCGATGCCATGCTTCTTTTGGAAATCTGAAGACTGCAACACAGTTAACACATAAAAGAGACTAACAATGACTAAGATTTTGAGCTCCTTCTTTCTCGACAAAACAATAGATATAACTCTTTTGACAATTTTTCCCCACTTGCCGTTAAAGAGTTAACGGATACGGATAGTGGTAGGTAAATATTTTGGTATAATTACAATATTTGCTCCTTATTATTATATATTATCAATTTAGTTATATATGTAATAAATTAAAATAAATTAATTTAATTTAACCCTCCAGCCAAATGGTGACAATGTCATGACACTTGTCACCAATAATACATGGTACCATTTGATTTGATGGTTAAATTTATTTTAATTTATTAAATATAGAATTAAATTGATAAAAAATATAAGTAATAGGGAAAAAATATGTAATTATATCAAAATATTTAACTTCCATGTCACCTTATCTGTTAATTATTACAGGCAAGTGACTTAATTGATAACAATTAAAAGTTATATGGTCTAATTTATAAAATTAAAAAATAAATGGTAAAAATAAAAAGAGTAAATAATTAAGTGATCAATAGTAAAATTTAATAAAAAATCAGCATGGGTGTTAGGTACTTTATACTAGTCCGTCACATTCATTTATCATTATGGTTTAATAAAAAAAATCAGCACGGGTGTCAGATACTTTATAATTCGTTCACTAGTCCGCCACATTCATTTATCATTATGGTTTAATAAAAAAAATACTATGGTTGGTGTCGCGACCGTTTTTTGTGTGGGTATGGAATTGGGCTTCGACTTGAAAAAAATGGGTTAAAGTCGCCATCGATCATTGAAAAATATTTAGGTTAATCGGACACCATCTTACATGATCTGCGTTTTACCATAAATATGTCAGGCTCGGGAGTCGATCACAGTCAAGGAATGATTAACACCCTTGTACTGCCCTTTCAGTATCAATTAATTTGTCGGTTGTCATAATCGAAAAAATTTTAAAATTTTAATTGAAATTTAAAAACTCAAATCAAATTACTTACCTTTGATTGGATGAAATTCTTCTAAAAAATCAAAAATGTTAGATAAAAAATAATAAATAAGTATTAAATAAATCAAAGGAAAAACATAAAAAAAAAATAAAAATAAAATAAAATAATAATAATAATAAAAATCAAAAGAAAAAAATAATAAAATAATAAAATCAAAAGAGAGAAAAAAGAAAGAAAATAAAATAGAAATAATAAATAAAATAATAAGAAAAATAAATCAAAGGAGAAAAAGATTAAAAAATAGATTAAAATAAAAAAAATCAAAGAAAAACATGAAATAAAATAAAAAAAATTAATAAAATATTAAATAAATCATAGAGAGAGAAAAATTGTTAAATTGTAAAAGTAATAAAATAAAATCAATATGAAAAAGAAAAAAAAGAAAAAATTAAAAAATATAAAAAAAATTTAGAGGATCAAAATTGATAAAAACAACAACTCAAAGGACTAAAATGAACTAAACAAAAATATAAAGGAACACACAATAATTAAACCCAAATATAAAATAGTGACTGAAATGAAATATTAACAAATATCAAAACCAAAGTCAAATATAAACGAAAATAACATAATATACAAAATAGGGTTTAAATATAAATATTAAAAATAACCAGTATTCGATACAAAATAGTATCATTTCATTTAATGACTAAAAGATAAAATTACCAGATCAGAGGGACCATTAACGTGATTATACCATGCGTTAAAGTACAACCCTAGTCCCTCATAAAACGGCATCGTTTCACGTTATATATAAATATAACAACCAAAGGCCAAAACCGACCATATCCCTCATTTGCTTCGTCTTGAAAATTAGAGGGAAAAGAGAGATTGAAACTCTCTCAAAACTCACCAGGAAAGGGAAAAGCCTTCACCGCCGGTGGCGGTCCACGGCTGTCGGAGTGAACAAACCCCCCTCGAATGCACCTTTCGTTACCCTGAGCCTATATTCTATACCCTCCTGACCTCAAACCTTTCTCAGACCTCTAGATATAGGAAAAAAGGAAGCTTTTTCTACCTTCGGCGATGGGCTCCTCGAAATCCGATGAGGCCACAGCTATAAGATCTGGGTTCAAGGTGAGACTTTCTTCTTTTCTGTCTTGTTTTTTTCGAATCTTTGTTATTTTTCTTTTCGAAATTCCCCTGTTTTCCCTAATACTTTTTTCCCTCACCCGAATCTCTTTATTTTCGTATAATTTCCCCGTCATATTTCTTGTGTATTGTCGAGCTTACATGCTTTATTTATAGTCCAAAAGAGTCATACTTTTAGAGAATTTGGCTCCAACTGAACTTGTTTATTATTGTTTGTTATTGGTTTGTTGGTGTCGGTTTGTTGGTGTCGAAAACCACGTTTGTTGTGCCGAGAATCACGGTCGTGGGTTGCTGTTATGGCGAGGAGTCTACGGATGAAGGGGGATGTGGCTGGAACGAGTATGCGACGCTGAGGAGACTGGCATGCTAGGGTTCTGGAAACCCTAACCTTCAGGGCCGATTCGGGTTACAGCCCGGGTCTGGTTCGGGTTGCAGCTTCAATTCGCTCCAGCTGGTCCTGGGCTGCCTGCGTGTAACGGGTCCACTCCACTGCTGAGCTATGGCTAGGTTTGTAAAACGTTATTTGGGCCTGAACATGTAAAAACAAAATAAATGGAAATATATATAATTATATAATATAATTTGTAATATTATATAACATAATAATATTAATTGAAACGAACAAAATTAGGTGTCTTCAGTTGGTAAACAATTAAGAGTTAATCTCGAACTATGATCCTCTTTTTACATCGGTCCTTAAATTTTTAAAAGTTCTATTTTCATCCATAAACTAAGATTATTATTCTAATTAGTCCTCAAATTTTGAACATTTTATTTTTCATCCCCAAATTATATCATTTATTCTAAATTGGTCACCAAACTTTTTCAACATTTCAATTTTATCTCAAACTATATGTATATACTAATCACATTCTTGTTAATAAAATCACTAGGCCAAACTATACTATTATATGTATGAAATAAAAAAAATTAGGCTAAACTATGATTAAAATTAATTACATATTTAGATGAATTTGGAGATGAAATTGAAAGATTTAAAAGTTTAAGGATCAATTTAAAATGAGAGTCATAATTTAATGATGAAATTAGAATGTTCAAAAGTCATACGAAATTCATATGTCATTATTCAATAAATTATCATTGTCCACCTTTTCTATCCTCGGACGTCTAGTGGTTGATTGACCCCTTGTCATCATACAAAATTCATAAACCCATTTAAATGATCAGAGGTTCATGTAATGCAATTCATTGATCCAAGTTAGGTGACGATGTAGGTTCGATGATAACGATGAACTAGTGGACGACGATTGGCTAAACGACAAAGTGTAAGACATTTTGCACGATGATAATAAGATGATCAATTAATAGCGATATGTTGGAAGATAAAGTTCATGGCGTGTGCCAAGGTTCACGTTCCCTAGTGTGCGTTGTGTTGTATGTAAGTTAAGCCTAGGGTTGTTAGGATGTTAGATCTAACAGTTTCAGCAACAATTTCAACACTTGAGTGCTATAAAAGGAATGCATTGTAGCTTTATGAATTAGAGAAAACAAATAATAATTTTTCACTTTTCTTAAATTCTTTATATAGTATCTTTCGCTAAGGGTTATGGGGTTTCTTCTTCCTCGTTATTGTATTTTCTTTGAGTGGTTCGTAGCTGTTTCAGTTGTTGGAAGTTCCTCATCATCGGTCGTCATGTTTACAAATAAGAATGTAAACATTGTCTTGGACTAGACAAACTTTCTTCTCTAAAAATAGCAAATCCTTCTCACGGTTCGTAGTCATCGTCTAGAGAGGCTTCTCAATGGCACGATACCGGTTCCACCTGAATTCATTGTTGATGTCAATGGTGCGTCCATTGTTAATGAGGGGTTTGAATATTTTATGGCACAAGATAATGCTCTTCCCTCGTGGCTTGTGTCTACGATCAATGCTCATCTTTTGCCTCAGTTTATTGGTGTTGAGTCTACTGTGGTTGTTTAGAGTACCGTTATTCAATTTTTTTGCCAACAAATCCATGACGATGGTGATGAATCTGCACTACAAGATTCAATCATTAAGGAAATATGATGATTCGATGCATGTGTATCTCACTTATATTAAGGAGGTTTGTGATGCACTTGCGTCGTGTGGCAACCCGATGTCATAGGTGGAGCATATTGTTAGCATTTTAAAGGGTTTACCGAGAGAGTATCAATCGTTTATGGTTGTGATCACTTCTAGCCCATATACACTTCCTCTTTATCGGATTTACTCTATCCTGGTGGATGCGGAGACACAACTGACCGATTTTGATTTTCAGGCTGAGAATTTTCCTATGACTGTCAATGTTGTTCAGGGACAAGTGCACATCAACTCCATATGATATGGTAATACTCATGATCACAAATAGTAGCATCAAACCTCGATGTGTGGCAGATGATATGGTGGCAGAGGTCAAACGCGACTACAATGTTAGTTGTGTGGTAAGATCGATCACTCAATTGATAGATGATGGTACTGATTTGACTGTGATTTTGCATCGGTTCTTACAAATAATGCTCGGTCACAATACAAGGGCGAGTCGAGTAGTGCTAACTATGTTATCATTGACAATCTTGGTTGTGTATGTTATGCCAACAAGCATGGTGCTATTTTTGTATCGACACAAGCTGGTGGCATGCCTCAAGCCACCATGGCCTCGTCCTCTCGTGCTCAGTGGGCTGTTGACTTGGGTGCTACGCATCATGTGACTCATTATGCTTCCAATAATGCTCACCCGACTGATCTTGATGGTCCAGGTAATCTCTTGGTTGGGAATGAAGTTTCACTTAATGTGAATATGGTTGGTCGATCTGTCTTATGCTCATCGTCTCAAGCTTTGTTACTTGTCGATTTGTTACATGTGCCTAAAATCATTAAACATCTTCACTCGATGTCAAAGTTTGCTATGGATAATCACATCTTTTTCGAGTTTCATACTGATGGTTGTTGCGTTCGTGATGA